CTGTAATCCCCATTAATGCGTCCTTTAGCCCCCCCGTAATCCCCATTAATGCCTCCTTTAGCCCCCGCTCTGTAACCCCCATTGGTGCCCCTTCCACAAACCTTTATTAATGCTCCCTTTACCCCCATCCAAAGTCCCATTAATGCCGCGTTTAACCACTCTCTGAAATCCCCACTAATATCTCCTTTGCCACCCCTCCATAAATCCCCTTCCAATAATCCCTTCTCCCAACACAAACCCCATTTAACTCCTTACATCAGCATCAGTTTACCCTCCTCAATATCCTTCCTCCCCCTCATAAACCTCTTCCCATCCCATCAATGAACCCTTGCCCCAAAATAACACCTGCCCCCCGCCCCAATAACCCTTCCTCCCTTGGTACTTAATCTCAATAACCCTTCACCCCACCCCTACCCCAACATCTCTTCTCCCCTTCCTCAATACCTTGTCACATCTCACCTGCCGAGCTGCTCTGGGTATTTCTGTTTGCAGTAAGACTCCAGTGAAGCGTAAACTTTCTCTCGGAGAATTTCCACCTCCGCTGGGTTTGACAGCCCCTTGGCATCTGGAGAGCATGAGGGACGTTGTGGTTAGGAACAGTTCGAGCGAATTCGCGATCCTGCAACCACGTGTATCGATCTCCCTGGGCAGGCTCTCAGGGGGCTTTGCTGGGGAAATCCTGAACATGGGTCACAAATTCAGCGGCCTCCCACTGGAAATGGAAACGAGGGGAAACATCCTGTCTGGGAGACTCATTAATCCTGGGGATTCTGTTCCCAGAGAACAGGGTAGCCTGTGCCGTTGTCTCTATGCAAGGCCGAGCGCGAGAGATTTTTGAACGACAGAAGAGTTGATGGTTATAGGTGGGGGTGTGTAATCAAGTGGAGATACGGTCACAATCAGATCAGCCATGGCCCAAGCTTGAATGGCCTACACCTGCTTCCTTTTTTTAATATTGCTCTGATCTGCTTCCTGCCTTTCCCATTCAATCGGGATTGTAACTGGCTCCAGTATCCCACACAGACTTGTGTGTATGTGCACGTGTATTTGTGTACATGCGTGTACATGCACAAATAAGATCTCAAGAGTATGAAAATAACTCTTACAGGACTCAGCAGAATAAATGCCAGGAAGGATGCATCCTCAGAGCCTCTGGATAAAGGAGTGGGTAAATGTTGGGAATTCTCTGTCCCAGATGGAAGTGCAGTCATTGAGTACATTCAAGACCAAGATCGATAGATTCCTACATGGTAAAGACATCACGGGATAAGGAGAGTGCATGGGAATGTGGCACTGAGGTAGGAGATTAGTTGTAATCTTACTGAATGGTACAGCAGCCTCAAAGGGCCAAATGGCCTTCTCTGGCTCCTTTCTGGGATATCGGTGCTGCTGGCTTGGCCACCAGTAAACTGCCCAGCCCTAAAGGCCCTTGGGAAGCTGGTCGTGGTGAGGCCATTTCATAGAGCAGTACGGAAACAGAGCCTTTGGTCCAACCAGTCTATGCTGAACATAATCCCCAACTAATCTGTTCCCCCCCTGCCTGCTCCTGGCCCATATCCCTCCAAACCATTCCTATTCATATATCCATCCAAATGTCTTTTAAACATTGTAATTGTACCCGCATCCACCACTTTATCAGGAAGTTCATTCCACACTCAAACCACCCGCTGTGTAAAAAATTTGCCTCATGTCTTTTTACATCTTTCTCCTCTCACCTTAAAAACGTGTCCCCTAATCTTGCAATTCCCCATTTTAGGGAAAAGACAACTACCTATACCTCTCATTACTTTATAAACTATCAGGTCACCTCTCAATGTTCTGCACTCCAGTGAAAAAAAGTCCCAGCCTATCCAGCTTTTCCTTATACCTCAAACCTTGCAAATCCAGCAACATCCTGGTAAATCTCTTCTGAACCCTTTCCGGCTTAATATGCTTGCTATAGCTGGATGACCAGAACTGGACACAGTATTCCAGAAGAATTCCAGAACACTCTTGAATGCCTCCCAATTGTCAGATGTCCTTTTACCTGTGAACAGTCGACTTCAATCAACTTTTGAAAGTTCCTGTCTCGTTCCATGAATATTCCCCCATCCCCACGCACCGTCTTGTCCCCGTGCAGACCCCCCACCCTCACGCATGCCCCAAGTCCTTCCTTTGGAATCTCCCTCCACTGTCTCTCTAATCTCCTCCAGCCTGTAATCCTATAAGCTCGCTGAGCTTCTCCCCTTTAGCATCTGTGTAGAGTCTATTCAACTACATGTATCCCCAGCTGCGTGGGGCTTCAAATTCTCCCCCCAAATCTCTCAAACCACCTCTCCCTAAACCTGCCTGAATATCTCATGTCCCTTTGTGTCAAAGAGTATCTGAATGCACTCCTGTGCTGCATAACATAGAGGGACCCAGTCCAAAAAGAACACATCCCTGTGACATTTTCTCCATAACAAACTCTCAGTCAGTCTGAGAGTGGGAACACAGCCAGAACCAGGAGACTCTGGTGTCCACTAGACTCCACCAGGACAGAACAGCGAAGTGCCTTTCAGTGTTGAGGCATGTCTCCAGCCTCTCAGGCCCACTTTCCCCGACTTTTCTCTCCTAATCTGAGCTCCCAGCGTCACAGAATGATCAGATGGTGTGCTGCTCCATTCACTAATGCTACCTGCCCTTGGCTTGGAGGGCTCCACGTACCAGGGTTGAAGAGGATGATCGCTCGCAGGCAACCGAGCTCCGTCTTGTCCATCTCCATGTCTCTCATCTTGGAGACCAGCTCAGTCAGCACCCTGAGGGGAAGGCGGTGGTGTGGAATATATAAAAGGCTTGTAAACGGCCAGAGATCATACTAAACAGACATGAAAATTGGTGCACATGGCTCCATTTACCCCAAACTGTGACCGATCCCTGACACTAAGTCCCAGCCTGACACCAGGTGCAGTGAGTGCTTCATGCGCAGCAATCAGAAATCATGTACCGCCACAGTTCATGCCAGTTTCCAATGTTCAGCTTGCACATGGCAGCGATAGTACAGGGCGAGATAGACAGTAAAGTTTTCCTCGACTCTTTTAAACTCTTTAGCAGAAAGTAAAGATTTCTCTACCTTTTTTTGTTAAAAAAGAAAGCAGAGGTCCCTCGAGACTGCCGTCCCCATTAAACACTCTCCCATCAAGGACAGTATGGGGATAAAGATTCCTTTACACTTTTAAACTGAAATTAAAGCATGTAAACAGAAAGTATAACTCCCTCTACACTGTCCTCCTTCGAACACTCACAGGACAGTGACAGGGTTAGATAAGAGAGTAAAGATCCCTCTATACTCTCCCCATCAAACACTCCCAGGGCAGGGACAGCATGGTGTAGCATACAGACTAAAACATCCTCTACACTATTTCCATCAAATACTCCCAGGACAGGAACATCATGGGGTTAGTTTCAGAGTAAAGTTCTCTTTACACTGTCCTCATCAAAAACTCCCAGGACAAGTATAGCATGGAGATAAATACAGAGTGAAGCTTTCTTTACTCTTTTGAACCAAAATTAAAGCACGTTCTACTCTTTTAAACTAAAAGTAAAAAGTATCAAACACTCCCAGGACAGGTACAGTATGGGGGTAGATATAGAGTAAAACTCCCTCTACACTGTCCCCCATCAATAACTCCAAGGACAAGGACAGCTCAGGGTTACACACAGAGTAAGGGTTACATACAGAGTAAGGCTTTCTCTACACTGTTTCCAATGAACACTCCCAGGGTAGGGACAGCACAGGGTCAGAACAGATGAATGCACCAACTACACTCTTCGTTCTGAGGGCAGGCACAGCAGGGGTGTCAGCAAAGATCCCTCTCCCTTCCCAAAATAAAAAGAAACGATTCAATTCCAACGTGAGTGGAGCAGAACGAACCCAAAACATCAGCAAGTTTTGTACTAGGCAGTATTGAGCTGAAATCTCCCGGTGAGGGGAGTAATCCAGGGGCAGGTCGTGGAGAATTCCACTCGGGGGTTTTAGAGAGTGTGTACCTTCAGCCAACTTGGGTTTTACTGACCCACCGGCAACAGGCTGCACTGCGCTGTGGTAAGGGTGGGGCGGTTAAGCCTCACCTCCATAGAAACCGGAACAGTCGCTTGCACCTTCCCCGTGCTCGCCCCACCACCACCCAACATTGTAAAGGCGAGGCCACTGGTGCCCCACACACACAGTACCCCGCTACTCCCCCCACCTACCTGTCGAAGATGGCTCCAACACCAGCACTGTGCGCACTGTTGCGGTGCACGTGGAGCCCCGTGGCCAGCAGGATCCCATCCCTCACCGTTATCGATCGGTGCGAGAACGAGGCGATCAGGAGCTCATTCCAACCTGGGCAAGAGGGAGCACATGGTCAGCAAATGGCAGGCACTGCAGGGTGTGGGAGGAACAGGAGGATGGGCACAGGGACAGTCTCTCACTCACTCACTCTCACTCACACAGTGGCAATGTCACTGGGCTACTAAACCAGAGGCGCAAGCGAACGGTCCGGGTCATGGGTTCAACTCCCACCATGGGGGATGACGGCCTACTGTTTTAGCATTAATCTAGACAGCCAGGTAAATCTCTGGGACCCGCGTTCAAAACCCACGGCAGATGGTGGAAATTAAACTCAGTAAAAATTTGGAACTAAGAGTTTAGTGATGACCACAAACCCATCGTCGACTGTCAGAAAAACCCATCTGTTTCACTAACGCCCTTTAGGGAAGGAAACTGCCATCTTTACCTGGTCTGGCCTACATGTGACTCCAGACCCACAGCCACATGGTTGGCCCTTAACTGCCCTCTGGGCAATTAGGGATGGGTAATAAATATTGGCCTAGCAAGCGATGGCCTCATCCTGTGAATGAATTTTTTTTTTTTAAAATGGCAGATAGAATTGAAACCCAATGTATAAATCTGGATGTGGAAGTTCATCTTGGGTAATCCTGGCCACAAAACCAACATCAATCTTCACAAAAGTCCATCAGGTTCACTAAGTCCGCTGGGGGAAAGGAACGTGCTGCCCTTGTCTGCTCTCGCCTCCTCGTGACTCCAGACCCATGTCAACATGGTGGCCTTTAAGTGTCCTCAGAAATGGCTTAGCAAGACACTGCCTGCCAGAGAGCAGAGAAAGAAGAAATTGCTGGCATTGCCAATGTCTCTCGCAGCTTTAAATAAAAAGAAGACGGTTTTGACGTGTCTTGGTGCACTACCACAGCCACTCTGATGCTTCACTTCATCAGGGACTGACAGTAAATGCCACCCTCGCCATCGACAGCCACATAATGAATAAGGAAAGGGGAGGCGGTGCCCCGATTTGCTCAGACAAACAGCCACCCCGTTCGCTCGGTCGCCCTGCAAACCTTGCTGCTAAGGTAACAAGTCACTGTGTAAAACAAACTTTCCATTGCCCTGGAAGAGGCACCAATATTAACGATCTAGTCACACAGTACGGAAACAGACCCTTCGGTCCAGCTCGTCCATGCTGACCAGATATCCTAAGTTAATCTAAACCCTTCCTTTTCACATACCCAATCAGATGTCTTTTAAAATGTTGTAATTGTACCAGCCTCCACCACTTCCTCTGGCAGCTTATTCCATACACACACCACCCTCTACTTGAAAATGTTGCCCCTTAGGTATCTTCTAAATCTTTCCCCTCTCACCTTAAACCTACGCCCTTTAGTTTTGATTCTCTGGGGAAAAGACTTCAGCTATTCACCCTATCCATGCCCCTTGTGATTTTATAAACCTCAATGACCCCTCAGCCTCCAACGCTCCAGTGAAAATAGCCCCAGCCTATTCAGCCTCTCCCTATAGCTCAGGCCCTCCAACCCTCGCAACATCCTTGCAAATCTTTTCTGAAGCGTTTCAAGTTTCACAACATCCTTCCTATAGCCGGGAGACCAGAATTGAACGCAGTATTCCAAAACTGGCCTAAGAACTGTCCTGTACAGCTGCAACATGACCTCCCAAATCTCACACTCAATGCACTGACCAATAAAGGCAACCATACGAAAAATCTTCTTTACTATCCTTGTCTACCCGAGACGCCACCTTCAGGAACTATGATCCTGCACTCCAAGGTCTCTTTGTTGCACAACACTCCCCAGGTCCCTACCATTTAGTGTATAAGCCCTGCCCCAATGTTCCTTTCCAAAATGTTGCACCTCACATTTATCTAAATTAAACTCCATTTGCCACTCCTTGGCCTATCGGTAATTACGTTTTTTCCCTTCGTTTTTTTTCTTTGAAGGAATCTAGGCCTGGCCACAAGGTTAACATTTGTTGCCCATCCCTAATCGCTCCTTGAACCAAGTAGTTTGGCCAGCCGTGACAGGACAGTGAAGACTCACTCACATTGCTGCGGGTCTGGAGCCAGACTAGGCAAGGATGGCAGATTTCATTCCCTCAAGGACATGAGTGAACCAGATGGGATTTGACAACGATCAACAGTCTCCATTACTAGGTTTCAATTGCAGATTCTATGGAGATGAAGTTAATGATGCTCTGGTGAGTTTGTCCCTAAGTTCCTGGAACGCTAGCTTCTGGATTTCTGAGCCCTGTGACATTCCCAGTGTGGCACCACCTCCAGTCAGCTGGGTCTGTACCCCGAAATTCATTAGGCAAATACTGTTGCAGGTCTGCTTCCCACACACGGTCTTGGGCGGTTCAAGAAAGCACTTTCTACAGGGGCTGTAAACACTATTGTGACGATGCCTTCGCTTTAAGAGGTTATTTTGTCCTTTTTTTTGAAAGAGAGGTTGAACAGGAGGTACCAAGCTGTCTGAAAGAAAGTTAACACCTTGTGATGCCTTGGGGTGTTTTAAAAGTTGGAACAGTAGAGGCAGCCTGGTTAGGGATGACCAGCCACCACAGACCAGGCTGTCTAGTTTTGTTTTTAGTTTTTAGGTTTAACAAGTGGGCTCGAAAAAGTACAAGCTATCTTTTCCCCCTCTCAGTTACAGCTAGAAGCTGGGGTTTCTCTCTGCTCCTGGGTTACCTGTGAGACAAATCTATTTTTCTGTTTTTTCCTATTCGTCAAGGGGTGTGTTTATGGGATGTAACTATATTGGAACAGTTAATTAGTAATAGTTACTGTATCTAATATTCGGTCAAATTGTGTAACAGAGTTAAGTTATTTTAAGTTCTTCTTTCTTTTGTTTGTATTTTAACTATAGTGTTTAAATAAATTGTGTTTTGTTTAATCTCGAGTAGCTTGACCAGTTGCATCACGTCTGGAACACGGCACTTCACACATGCTTTAAAAATAACAAAAAATTTAGCTTCTAGGCGACCTTTTTAAAATTTGCCGAATGGTCTGGTCTGGTCCATGACACTATATAGTGTCACCTGCGAGGCAAGAAAAGATGCTTAGAATGCCCAGAGTTCCCTTGAGCCAAAACTGGAGAAGCAAGCAGGTAGCTGGAGGGAGACAAACAGCCTGGAGATTGCAAGGAACAGAGGAAAGAGCGACCTAGCCTGAGACACAGTGCTGCCCATGACAAAATGGACTGACCCTACCCCATACAACCTCAGAAGCTCTCTCAGCTCTGACTAGAGCTCCCCCGAACTGCTTAAAATCAAAATCGAAACTTACTAAACCCACCAGTGCCTCTTAACATTTTGAAATTCTCATCCTCCAAATCCTTCCCTGCCCACCCAACTCCTTCTCGAACTCCGCAACCCTCGGATCTCTACACTTCCCAAGTCTGCTTCAGATTTTGATTGCTCCGTCGCTGCTGGGCATTCCTTCAGCCACCAGGGGAACCCCAGCTCGGGAATTCCCTTTCTCATCCTCACTGCCACCCTCCCTCTTTTAGGATGCCCCCTTTAAAACCAGTTCCTCCAGCATGCTCCCGATTACCAGTATTAACATCATCTTCAGTGGCCCAGAGTCAAACCTGGATTGATAAGCACTTTCTTGGAAAACATGAACTGCGTTGAAGGCCGCTCCCTGCAAGCTGTTGTGAACACATCACATGGGAACACTAGGAGCTCTCAAAAGCACAACAGTTTGGAACTATATCATTCCTTCATTGCTACTGGGTATAAGGACCTAGACTGTCGATGCTTGAGATATTAACTGCGGAATGTATACACACTATTTTTAATTTACTTGCTGAGAGTTTGAGTTTCTGGGTTTTTGAGTTTGTAACCGGTAGATTTTGTGCATATCGGAAGTTAATAATTAACCTGTAAACATTTACACGGCCGTGGTGATTTCTTTGAGAATAGTTTTGAGGCCTGGCTTTAGACCGAATAGATTTTGTGCACCACTACTGGACCACCCAGCAGGATAAATTAATGTAGCCTTTGTTACAGAGTTCCTGAACTTGGTTTCCTTTAATCTTAAAGCAAACACCTATTGCTTAGTTTTAGTTTCTCGTTTTACTGAGTGGTGCAGTCCTTAGAATGGATAGCTGTATATACCTGACAAGGGAAAGATATGTAATGAACCAGGTTATCTTACAGTGAAGATACCTTAGTATTACTGTAGGAAAGAAGTGCTGGGATAAAACCCTGAAGAGATCACTTAGAGCACAATACATTTAAGTTGGCATGTGATAGGAAGAAGCTATCTACATTTCCAGTCTATATGTTAAAGTCAGAACCGACTTCAGCTGGTCGAGTTGATAGATACACGAACTGCAGTAAGTGTATCGTATAAACAGTGTTTTGCATTCTGTACAAGGATGTGCTTTGGGTACTATGCAAAAGCTGTTTGTTTCTTTTCAATTTATAAAGGAGCGATTGGGGATCAGAGGTTTCTTCACTGGGTGTTCAAAAATCTTTGATTTTTCATTATAAGTGGATAGCTTGGGATTTTGTGGACATATAAAATCCAGAAAGGATGTTTCTCTCTGGTTGGGGAGTCTACAATCAGAGGAGACAGTCTCAACAGACAGGATTGACCATTTTGGACTAAGATGAGGAAATGTTTCTTCACTCAAAGGATAATGAAACTGTGGAATTCTCTACCACAGTGAGCTATGGAAGCCAAGGCACTGAACATATTTAAAAAAAGGCTGATAATTTTTGTAGATATTAAAGGCACCAAGGGGTATGGGGAAAAATTGGGAATGTGACATTGAGGTAGAGGATCAGCCTGAATGGACTATATCTGCTCTCAGTTATATTGTCATAGAGTCATAATATAGCATGGAAACAGGCCCTTTGGCCCAAACTGGTCCATGCTGACTATGGTGCCTACACAGTTAGCTCCAATTACCCGCATTTGGTCCACATCCCTCTAAACCCTTCCCATCCACGTACCTATCCAAACGTTTTTTAAATTGTACCTGACTCAATCACTTTCTCTGGCATCCCCTTCCATATATGCACCACTTTCTGCATGAAGAAGTTACCCCTCAGGTCTTTCTTAAATCTTTCCCCTCTCACGTTAAATCTATGCCCTCTAGTGTTCAATTCCCCATCCCTGAGAAAAAGACTATATGTATTCATCCTATCTATGTCCCTCATGATTTTATATACCTCAATATGGTCACTCCTCATTCTCCTACGTTCCAAAGAATAAAGTCCAATGATGGCCAACCTCTCCCTATAACTCAGGCCTACTAGTACTGGCAAGATCCTCATAAATTGTAAAGTATAGAAAGAAGATTTAACTATGTCTTTCCTATAGCAGGGTGACCAAAACTGTACACAATACTCCAAGTGCTGTCTCACCAATGACTTATACAACTGTAACATAATGTCCAACTCCTATACAAAATGCCTCAACCGATGAAGGCCAGCAGGTTAAATACCTTCATCACCCTGTCTACCTGTGATGCTGCTTTCAACCATGTACTTGTACTCCTGGGTCCTTCTGTTCCACAACACTCAAGACCTTACCATTAACTGTATAAGTGCTACCCTGCTTTGAATTTCCAAAGTACAGCACCTCACACTTATCTGTATTGAACTGTATTTGTCAATCCCCCAGACCATTTCGCCAACTGATCAAGATCTCTCTAAGTTTTGATAACCTTCCTTGCTATCAACGATACCTCCTAATATTGTATCATCTGCAAACTTACTAATCATGCCTTGTACATTTACATCCAGATCATTTATGTAAATAACAAACGACAAAGGTCCCAGCACCGACCCCTGTGGCACACCACTACTCACAGATCTCCGTCTGAGAAACAACCTTCAGTTATCACCCTTTGCTTCCCCCCATTGAGCCATTTTTGAATCCAATTAGCTAGCTCTTCCTGGATCCCATGCAACCTAACTTATGACTAGCCTGCTGTGTGGGATCTTGTCAAAGGCCTTACGAAAGTCCATATAGACAACATCCACTGCCCTACCCTCATCTATCCTCTTGGTTACCTCTTTGAAAAATTCAAAGGTTTGTCAGACATGACTTCCCATGCACAAATCCATGCTGACTAGCCCTAACCATACCTTGACTATCCAAATGTTGGTTGATTCTGTCCCTCAGTATCCTCTCCAATAAATTGCCTAGCACTGAGGTCAGGCTCACTGGCCTGTAGTTCCCTGGCTTGTCTTCGCTACCCTTTTTAAACAATGGAACAACATTATCTACCCTCCACTCTTCTGGAACTTCACTAGTAGCTAAGGATGAAGCAAAGATCTCTGCAAGGGCCTCTGCAACTTCTTCCCTAGCCCTCCCACAACATTTCTCTTGTTTATTGTTATTGCCAAAGCATTCCATGTTTATGTTTCACTATGTTCAAAACAGATCAAAAGGTGATCTATCAAGTTCGGCTTCTGTGGGGGATTGGGTTTGTTCAGTCAGATAAGGAGTATAACACTGCTCTAAGACGATGAGAGAGTAACTACGTTACCCAGGGATAACTGGGAGAAATGCAGGCCTGTAAACACTCGGGGTTAAAAAATACCAGCAACTCTTTCCAGGATCTTGGTGCACCAGGAAGTGGCGGCGGCGGTGGTGGGTGGGTGGGTGGGTGGGGGGGGGGGGGAGGTTCTGGCCCTAGAACTGGCCTACATGCTTCCCCCTCCTCAGTATCTGACCTTTCACATGGGGCTCCCCCTCTCTGTCTCTCTCTCTTGTACACTCTGCAGCTGCTCTGAATGGAATGCTTCTCATACCTCACATCGACAACGAAAAGGGGGGGGGGGGGGGGGGGGGGGGGGAGCTTTTGCTCGTTTCTGGCACACCATTCTCCAATCCGCCCCATTCCTCCCTCCTCCCTGCTCCCCGCTTCCCCAAAGTTCCCCATCCTTACCTGCCCTCAGCAGGATGACCTGGTCATCCAGCGGAAGCTCGGAGAAATGTGGGATACGCTTCGCCCACTCCACCAGCGTGAAGAGCTGCTTGTCAGCTGCCTGGCAGATATTGGTCACCGGGTCATTGGGCTGCAGGAACGGGGTGGGGTGTAGGGAGGGTAGGAGGGATCGGGTGGGGTGTTGGGGGGGGATGGAGGGATCGGGGTGGGGGTGTAGGAGGGTCGGAGACAGACAGTGAACGGTTAGCCAGCCTCTCAAAGTGCTTTGCGACACGCGAACTTTTCACACTTCCCAGGACATCCCGAGGCACTCTGCCAGCCCACCCACAGGCTTGGTTACAGCAGGGCTGGGTGCGCACAGCAAGATCCCACAAACAGCGACGCGACCGCAGTGAACAGAGTGGGAACTTCTATCACCCACCATACCCCTTCTTAGTTCAACAGCCTCTATCTGAAAGATGGCACCTCTTCTAACAGTGCCACACTCCCGCAGTGCTGCATCTGGAGTTAACCCCAGCCCACACTCCGATCAATGGCTAACGATGGCACTATATTCCACTCCGACATTCCCCTCTTCCCCAAGCTTATCATGGTTTTATTTCCTTCTCTACTTCCAGGTTTTATGGCCTGTGGGGACCTGAACCTACAGTCTTAGAAGGTGTGTGC